TTTCCCTCTTTATTTCACTTTTGCTGTCTATATTTAACACATGAAACGGAATAAAGCAAGACCTCCATGGATATACATACACATATATATATATATATATATAAAGTGTACGTATCGACAAAGATCAGTGCAAGTAGTAGCTGAAGAGGGACACGATGGAAGCTCCGACAAGAGAGCCCGGCTGCGCCGGCGGCTCCACTTGCGGCGGGTCCCTGTGCCGGAGCGGCGGCCTCCTCCGCGGCCACGACGGTGACGGCGGCGGCGGCGAAGATGATTCCGCAAGCGATTTTCTTCATCTCCATTTTTTTTTTGAGACCTGGAAGAAGGATTTCTCAAAATCTCCTCTCTTTTTTTTGTGCTGTAGCTTTTTTGTTACTTGCAGGTCCGAGGAAGATGAAGGGTGTCGATGGGGATCTTATAGTGAGGGACTGTATGTTATTTTTGGACAAAATAAAAAACAAAATCACCGTTGATTTCGACAAATCGGTTTCGCACGTCAGTTGTCGTGTATGGCTTGACGTTGTTCGAGGATTTTCCATGCAAATTTCACGGGTCGGATATGTTTGAATTAAAATAATGGGCCGAAATTATTGGGCCGGGTCAAATTTGAATTGTATGGGCCCATTTAGTATCTGATTTGGGCTTGATGTTAGATTTACGGGAATGGCCTAAAACCTTCATCCGCCACAAATGCATATATGTATATGTTCCAAATTATAAATTTTGTATGGACGATATACATACGGAAAAGGGAATATTTAGCTTCTTTACAAAGTTAGATATTAATAAAATTTAATTTAAATTTTATATTGGTTATGACAAGAGACTAATTGATATTCTTTTTTTTTTTAATGTATATTTATGATATTTATAAATAGATGGAACAAAAATCATTTATGTTCGATAGGAAGCTCAAATCAACGAGTTTGGACTGATAGTGGGGGCAAGAAGTATGATCCCTTTCTTTTCTTATTCTTTCTCCTCTCGCGAGGTCTCTCTCTATTCGTTTCAAGGACAGTCCACTCGATTTAAATCTTTATAAAAGTACCATTCCTTGAACCACTTTTTTAAAAATTTTATTTCCTTTTTTCTAATATTGTCGTAAATATAAACAAAATTCCACGTATGCCCTTTTTCTTTTCTGATCTCAGCCTACACGTACGTGCATGAACAGGTTTCATTCTCCAAAAATCCAAGCTACTGATCATGGACATCAGATATTGAGCTAAAACAGTTGGGCATTACTTATATCGTTTTCAACATATATATATCATTAAAATGACATAATTTGAGTTACGTAGGGAAGGAGAGTGACACACACACATGTATATATATATATATATAGGTAAAGTGTATTAGCTTAAATCTGAAGCTCTTGGTGTAAATATTCGCTTCAGAAAGATACCCAACGCCATACACGACTTGGGGAATCTCCAAGCATAATGATGATCAAAGCAGCGTTAGCTTTAAGAGGAGAGGGGGAAGAAAGGCGGATCAAATAAAGAAATACGGACAAAAGAACACGCTCGGACAATCATCACCCGTATAAAGAAACCTCTACGGATATATATGGTAGTTAAAAATCCCTATTTTCAAATTTTATAATTTATAATTTTTTTTTACGCTTTTTGTTCATGCATCACTGTCTATTGTGCATCCTTTTGTAAAAGATATCCTCGATTTATAATGTTATTATTTAAATGTGTTTTCTCTTTTGAGGTACCCGTGATTAATCATGAGCCTAGCGCAATTTGGCCTCTTTCGCCCTTTTTCTTTTGCACGGTGGGTCCTCCTTCGGACAAAACGTTTGTCTCAAATCATACGGATAGGTGTAGTAACATTCGGACATTGTACATGTCTCGTAGTACGTATACGCATACATGACTTTGGGAAACTGTAATGTAACGAACAGTTTAACGGGTTTACTGCACTAATGCATTCGAATGTTCTAATATAGTTAAGCTTTTGGGATTTTAAACGGTTATGTATTAGAGGCTTTTATCCAACTTGTTAGACGAGAATTGAAATTTGTGGAAGTTATAAGAATCCATAATATTAAAAAAAATAATATTTTATAATATGGATGTGACATCATAATTAAGGAAAAGGTGAAGTTCAATTTCTCGAATTCTGCATTTATTTTAGATATAGACGCACCAAAAGGGCTATCACAAAAATATTCAATATATAACTAAGTATAAATATATAATACTCATAATAATAGTTAACAAGGCGTATATATACGTACGTATATACATGTTTGGGCCGTTAAAAACGTATGTCCCTCTACTGAACAAAAGGGAAAAGAGAGCATCTTGCTTGCAGTATGAAAAGAAAGCCGTAACCAAACTGTAATATTTATTGCACAATCAAATCTAATAAAAGATCCCACCACGTAATCTTCTGACTGTTTCCAGCTAAACCAAAAAAAAAAAAAAACTTCCGATTTCAGAAAATAATATAATCCTAGATTCTTCCGGCGATACATTGCATGCACATAAAACCATCCATCGGTGAGTTTGATATATATTATTTTCTAACCTAATAAAGATTTATATAATTCGTATACATATCTTTAATTCTTGTAAATATTCACGGGCATGGATGTGAATTTCGAGATATATTTATTGGGTTTGGTTTCCGTCAATGCATGATTTTGTGTAGATCACGGAAATTTCAAATTAAAATTAGATGGATATTTGAATTTAATTATGGAAGGGGAGTCTTGACGCACCCGTTGTAACTTTGAGGTCACGGGTTCGAATCCTGAAAACAGCCTCTTGCAGATATTTCTATAAGATAAGGTTTGCCTACAATACACCATTATGATGGAAACCTTCGGGACTCTTTGTACACCGCACTGCCCTTTTTTTTATTTGGATTTAATTATGAGATCGATAAATTAATAATCCGAAGTCGAACGTTCTGCACTCAAGATAGCAGCAATAATATCATATAGTGCCCATTCTCATTATGCATCATCATCATACCACGGGACAAAGTACTGCCATTATACATATAAATAAATTTCATAGATAACACGAATCATGACATATCCTTTGGGGATAAAAAAGACATTCAGAACACAATAATATTCAAATTTGAATTATATATTCCCTTTTACATAGTTTCACCAAGTGTATATATATACTCACCGAAATCTCATATATATATGGACTCAAATACACACGTAGGCATGCGTGCAAATTTTTTTTAAAAAAAAAATACAAAAATATAAACGTAACCACCCGTTTGAGGAAAAAATCTGTCTAATATAATAACACCACAACCTTGTATAAACATAATGCACGTGTAGAACATCTATATAATGGAGAGATGATATATAGAACGCCATATATATATATGTATATGTATTAATGTGTATATATACATACAGTGTTTTGTCATATTACTATATTATTTTCTCTTGTGAGAGTGAGATCATGAGATGTGTGTGTGTGTGTTGAGAGAGAGAGAGAGAGAGAGAGAGAGAGAGAGAGAGAGAGAGACTTCATGTTCTCTTACAGATTAATGTACGTACGTGTCCAGGACAAAAGCGAAAAATATATACAAAGAGGCAATATGATTCATTGTCAGGTTTCTACATTAAATTGTCCTGTAATTTTTTTGTAGTGTAAATTAGTACTAATACAGAAAAAATCCAAGAGAATTAAAAAACAAAAACAAAGCTACGGCCTGAAATTATTTCCCGATTGATTATTTTTTATATATAAAGTTTTTAATTACTGGGAAAAAAACCCTTGCCTACAACAAAAGTTCCCACTTTTAAAAAAGGGTTTTTTTTTGCATATACATTAATTAACTACATAATTGAGCTATTTTTTTTCGTAACAAAAAGTTCATAATTAAGCTACTTGGACCGCATAGACTCATGACCGTTATCTAATTGCTCAACCTCAGAAGCAGGATCATCTTCTTCATCAAACCCATCAACGCCGTAAGCTCCATGGCCATCTCCAAAGGCCTTGATGTGGTCTTTGAGCGATCTCTTGTGCTTGAAATCCGACCCGCAGACGCAAAACCAAAGCTTACCGCAATTCTTCTCATGCGTCCGCCAGTCTCCTCTCACAGCAAATGCCTTGCCACATTTCCGACACATGAAGGGCTTGATGCCATGTTTCCTCTTGTAATGCGTCTGAAGAGTTCTGAAGTCCTTGAGAGGCTTTGCTCTCGGATGGTCGATGTTGTTCCGACAGCCCGGGGAGCAGCAGTAACACGGCAGCCTCAGCATCCCCGTCGGTTGTGTTCCTCTCAGAGATTCAGGCCCTTTCCTGTACTGTGATCCATGTCCCCACATATGCATCTGAAAAACAAAATATTTATGCGTACATATGTAATCTAATCATGTAAAAAATCTATGTGAGAATCCGCCGGTTCTTGATAATCGGCTAAGGATGTTAAATTAACCATCTTAATTAAGGGTAACATATACAAGATGTTCACACAAACACACACATGCATATATATATATAAATATGTAATATCCTTTGTTTGTTCTGGTTGTATATATATATATATATTATATATATGTGATTAATGTTGTTTTTAGACGTTTAGCATTTAAAGCTCTCATATAATGTCTGGAAAGTCTGCAATAAAAATCAGTTGTACACGACTGCCAACGTGAAGCGCTCAAAAGAGCAAAACACAGGCTCTGAAGTAGAAGGTAGAGGGGCAGACATAAAGAACATCGGATGTCTTGCTCAGTCACACGCCCTTTAGACGTATTCTGTACTGAACATTTCTCTGTCTCGGTTCTTTATAGTAACGCAATGTCTTTTGAGCCGTTGAACAAAATGTCCACAATATTTCGTACACATATATAGCCTGTGTGTATGTATATACCAAAGGAAAAAAGCCAAAAAACCATTTGTGAAAGTATACCGTTATAACCAAACCAAGAATTTTCTCTCTTTACCTTCTGGGTTCAATTCAATCCAATTGTATATATATTCGTCGTTCGTGCGTTAAATATTCATGAGGCATGTGGTGTTAGGCTCGTATTCATTAGGGCTCGGCTGCATCTATCCGACGCAGTGTAATGGGGAACAGATGATGGAAGGGGAGAAAAACACAAAAAGATTTGTGAATAAACGATCTCTATATATATAAAGATCTTGACTGCTGCCCATCCTCGAGTGCAAGAAAAGGAATACACACGCACACACAATGTGCATACGACCAATATATAGGTTAAAATTTAGTATTTCGCTCAAGACTCGGAGATTACGCATATATATATATATATAGAACTATATATATATATATATATATATATTAAAAAAAAAGGTTAGGAGTGGCGAGTAGAGTACCTGCATGTTGTTGTATCTGTTGAATGTCTTGAAGCAAAGAGGACAAGAGAACTGAGTAGGGCCGATCAGAATCTGGGAAGGTGTCGGGATCCAATACTGACCCTTGTTCAGTCTGCTTATTCTGCTGCCTCCGCCGGACTCGTCGTCATCCTCATCGCCGCCGTGATGATGATCATGCTCCAGATCCTTCCTGTCGTTGATGTTCTCCGAAGACGAAGACCTCGTCAGCACAGAGGCCATCTCTTCGGCGCTAGGGTTCGGAAGCCCTATGTGAAGAGCCACGGTTAGATCGCCATCGTTGAGATTACTAGTATTACGATGATCATGATCAAGATCATCGTTAGGGTATTGATGATGATGATGATGATCGGGTGATAATTTGTCGCAGTCCACATCCATGGAAGTGGAAGGTTCTTGGTCATGATGATGGTCCTGTTGTTTGTTGGCGGGGCTGAGGCTGAGGAGCGGAAGGGCTTCACGGATAGGAGGCGACGGTGGAGGTGACGGCGGGCGGCGATGGTGGAGGAGTCCTCCGCCGCCGCGAGGGAAGAAGAAGGAGGGTGAGGGATAAGGTGAGGAGGGGGAATTAGGGTAATGGGGAAAATGGTTGGGCTTGAACCAACCTGTGAAAAAATTGGAGTGCGGATCACTCATGGTGGAAAGAGAGAAATAGTTTGGTCTTTGGAGCTATGCCTTTATACTGATACAAGAGAGAGAGAGAGAGAGAGAGAGAGAGAGAGAGAGAGAGAGAGAGAGAGAGAGAGAGAGAGAGAGTTTTATTTATCAGGTAGTAAAAACAGGTCAAATGAGAATAATTAAGTCAAAGTATGTGAGTAATGATCATTTATTTATAAAATAGTACGTATAAGTGCACAGTTGGAGACAAATTAAATCAACTCAACTACTATATCCACCTACATACATACATACATACATACATACATACATACATACATACATACATACATACATACATACATACATACATACATACATACATACATACATACATACATACATACATACATACATACATACATACATACATACATACATACATACATACATACATACATACATACATACATACATCGCATTTTCATTTGGACTTAAACCACTTGTTAGACATATCATGGCATGGCATGGCATGAGGTGCAGAGGGTACATACATAATGTCACTGCTTTTCGGAGATTGGCTCTCATCCCAATCAAAGTTTCCTATCATAAAAAAGCCTTTCCGAAGGATTTAGGGTTTAATAAATAAAATAATTAATTACTTAAAACAAAATTGGTATTTATTACAATTAAATAAAGAAATATCCATCACAACTCTAATGCTTCGATTCTGAAGCTCTTACCCATGATATGACTCTAGACAAAATTTAAGCAATAAAATTTACTGAGATGTCGGAGTACAATGAATTTTACCTAACACACACACACATATACATACATTCAAAGGATATTGGTCATAAAAAGTTATTGTAAATAATAAAGCTAAAATAAATTAATCGTCTCAAATACATTATACTACATGTATATATATATATATATATTCCCTCTCGAATCTTTTGCTCGATAGATGTCACATTTCTAGTAACTCTTGCAATGAGAGTGACTCTTTTATTGGATATATATATATATTAGTATAGGAATCATTTTAACAAATGTAAGCAAGTGAAAAAGCTTGAGAGAAAATAAAATGTGATATATTTAGATTGTTACCAATTCTACAAAAACTCAATACGATAAACAAGATTCTAGAAAATTCTCTTTGAAAATTTGTATGAATTTTAAAAATCGAAATATTTGATATCAAAGTTCGATTAAAAAAAAGAAAAAAAAGGGTTGAAAAGGAGGGAGCAATTGCATTGGTGTGCGAATCAGTGGTCGGCTTTCCATAAAAATGGTAGCCCATGGAATGTCCATATCCCCACCGCAGATCCTCATGCCTCCTCTCTGTTCCTTTATACATACATACACACACACATATATATATATTATGATTTTCTCTGTTCACAAAATTTAATTTCATATATTTTTTATTATTCAATATATAATCCATTTATAACGTCGATTCCTATTGACTTTGATTAGGACTAATTAGGTCGTGATGAACATGATTGGGGTTTAATTCTGAGAAAGTGTTGGTTTTTTAGGACTCGATTCTCAATGGACCGACACAATTATCTGGGAGCTGTATGCAATAAATGATTTTTTACATGTTTTTGCAATGTTATATTAATTTTTATCAAATCAAATGATCAGACTTAACATGTATGAATTCATGTTCACATGACTTTACTTTTGATTACTTTATTTGCACATTTATCATGTGGTGTTAGGCTCGTATTCATTAGGGCTCGGCTGCATCTATCCGACGCAGTGTAATACTTTTAACTGTAAAGGATGATTAATGACTCACAATCATTGTTACTGATGTTGTCTGCGTGTGTGTATATATACACACACATACGCGTGTGTGTGTGTATATGCATTAAATATTCACATGATATTTAGTTCGACCGGCCTGCGGTGTAACGTTATATCTACATCATGTGGCTTCGGGCCTGATCGTTACACTTACATTTATATATGGATGCATGAAAACGATGGTCTTGTATGCGTAAATTTAGTAACAAATTCACATTAAATTCTTGCATTATTAATTTATTAGATATAGATACCAAAAGCATGGAGGTAATCTATTATTTGAAACAAAAGAAAAAGTTGGATTTCACGTGGTATTTTTTTTTGTTAATAGTAAATATTATTATATATAAATGATGGTACAGAAGACATTATCGAATGGTAATACAGATATTATAAATATCACAATATAACAAATTAAAATAGTACATCAAAGAAGAGTGAAAGTTAAATAATAAGTTATGGGTGCAGTTAAATAATTTCACGTGGTATTGTCATGTAATTAGGGTTTGTTTACTGCACAGATAATTCATTTCACAACCACAACAATATTAGACAATAGCGTAGTCACTTGAGATCCCTTTCTCTCTTTTTCAATTCCTTTGAAGCTAATTTTCTCTAAGAGTGGGAATTGATGTTAAAATATATAAATTTTTTAAAAAAAATCACTTATTTTCGCATTAACACGATTGTCATGTCACTGACCATTCGCTTTTAAGATGACATGGACTATAATAGAAACGAGGAAAAAAAACATAAAGGATAATAAAGGCAAAGGGTATATCTATACACGCACACGGTATAACTATAACTGAAAAAAGGATTGTATGAAAAATTAGTATATGGTTTGATCTTTTTTTTTTTACAAGCAAAGGATACGGTCTAAGTTGTAAGATAAGAAAAAGAAATTAAATAAAGGAAATTATATAATTATATGATTATCTGAAATAATATTGGACTAATAAATTTATATTTGAGACAAATTCAATGACAAAAGACTATTTGAAATAATACTTTTCATGTCCTAAGTTTTTCTTCAAGGGCCGGGGCCCTCATAAGGTACACCCTTGTGATCCTTTTCGTGGTTGTCACTTGTCATACATAGTAGACATACATACACATATGTATATTCCTATGTATGTATAGAGAGAGAGAGAGAGAGACTTAAAATCATGGCTCTAGAGCCATCTCTGCGTGGTTTAGGGTTTGTTGATGTTCTTGTTTCTGGATGTGACATTTATGTTATAAATTTCAAATATATACATTTGGATCTTTCATTATAATTTTTTTTTATAATTTTATTTATGAGCGTATTCGATATTTATTAGGTCTCGTCTGAATTTGTCCTTTTGAGTACATGACTAAAACACACATCACCAATGGAAGGAAATTAAAACACACACACACACACACATCTATATTCATATATAGGTAGAGAGGAGAAATAAGTGGTGGTGCTATTTATAATTTATCTTTCAGTCAAACTATAGGGTTCACCCAAATGTATATCGCCTTAGTTATTATTACGCTTATACACATATACACAGACACATATATGCGGCTGCCAATAATCTCATAATTTGTTATCATACAAAAGATTGGAGCGTCTTATATATATATATATATATATATATATATATAATTTATTGATATCTCTAAAAATCAAAGGTATAAGTTGAGACAAATCCCACTTTTTTTCTCTTTGCTTTAAAGCAAAAGGATGAATATTTAATTAAAGGAAGAGAAAAATGAGTGCCACATTCAAATATAGCTTTAGACCACTTTTTGGTTTTGACATACAAGAAAATTAGTGATATATATATAATATTCCAAATGGAAAGGAACTATATTTAGGTTATGTAATTAGACTAAGATTTACCTCCTAAACTCAACCACCCCGAAAATTTACTTTTTCATTATGTTTATACTTAGTAAGTATACAAAATAATAATATTTATGACCTTCCAACTTGTTAGATTCGGTTCATTTTAGAACTCACTTTGTCAGTCAGAGAACAGGTTTAATATTTTCTTGTTTAGATTCGGAATTTTGGTATAATCACAACACTCCAAAATCTAGATACTCGATACAAAAAAAAATAAATAAATCATCCTATAAGAAATGTAACGTTGTTATGACGACTCAGGGTTCAGTACGCCTTAATTGCAATGAATTTTTTTCCCCACTAATTGCAATGAATTTTATAAAATATTTTTTTTATGGACCGACATGATACTTATCTTGGGTAGCTGGGGAACAAACAGGAGATCGTATAAGTGAAACATGCAAGCATTTTTGCAGCAATTCAGGACACACACACACACACACATATTATATAGTTTCATGATTTCTCCTCTGTACATAAGGTCAATTAATTAATGAACTAATCATAGATCATGCCCAAAAATTAGTTCTTCAATAGCCTCTCGTTGATCGATATAAATTATTACAATTTACATGTGTGTGTATATATAAATACACCCACGTATATATAATATACGTGAGGTGTGTGCACACATGGAGAGTGAAGATGCGGAAAACGAATGACAAAAGAAAATAAACAAGGAAGAGAAGGTGTAATAAAAGAGATGTCCGGAGTTGACCAGAATCACGAGGTCGGAAAAACATTGGGGGTTTAGGGTTTCAAGACAGCACGCCCGCCCCCACTCTCTCTCTCTCTCTCTCTCTCTCTCTCTCTCTCTCTCTCTCTCTCTCTCTCTCTCTCTCTCTCTCTCTCTCTCGTGTTTTGTTTCTTCAAATATTTGTTGTTTTCCCCCAAAATTTTTTATTATTAAAATTTTTCCCCAATGTTTTCGTCTGAATTCGGAGCTTCATGCCACCGCAAACCCTTTTGCCATTTACTTCTTTTACAAGTGAAATAAGAGATGATCATATATATATATAAAAAATCCTTGTATTTTAGATGAAAATCAAATCCTAATCAAAATATAACAGCTAATGTTAAAAGCATGTTAGGACATATGGCTTTGCATTTGTCTCTTTCCGTGGTTACCTATGATTATAATAATCAAATAAAATTGTTTCACGCAAACGAATTTATTCAATATTCATTCAAAACAGGGAATATCGCGATGAAAAAAAAAAGGAATCAGCCGAGGTCGCATATGTCATCTAATCCTATACTTTGTTGTATAATTACAATAACATAGTGTTAAGGATTAAAAATAATTCCTTATTTAGTTCATATAGATAATGCTACAACTACCAAGACATGATAAAGCAGTAAATCATCAAAGAGAAGAAAAAAAACATTTTAGCTTTGCATGTAATAATAACCATTATAATCCTCCTTTTGAGAAACATGTTGGCACCAAAACCCAAAACCCAATCTAATAGCATTAGTTATACATGTTGCCCTCTATGCCCTTCAGGGGAGAATATCACCAAAGGCATATAGGATAAAATAGGAGTGACACATCACAGAACGGAACATAACTGTACACGAATGACTAGTTGACAGACAGCTAATGATCAAGATTCAAGCACCGCGTTTTTACTTGAGGGCTTTTGTCAAAACTGACATTGTGTGGTTTGATCGAAGAAGAAGACTTACTAGTCACTTCTGTTTCTCCTCTGTCGGTTGGGAAGCAGTGTCTCCATTGCTCCTGGGCTTAACCGGAGCGACTTTGGCCGGTGTTGAGCGTTCGGACTGGGAGGAACGTATCAAAACCTGCATAAGGAGAGTGACGACTCCCAACCCGATTCCCGATATGGCGATACCTTTCCACGAGGAGAAGAGTTTCGACCATTGTAGGAACTTCAATGCTCCGAACGTTAGCATGCATGCCCATGATGAAACCACCTGGGGAGGGAGATCAAAGAGGTTTTCTCCATGAGTTTTTACGGTGGATCAAAAGAGTAGTATACCCAAGATGGGGCAGTGTTGAAAAGGCAAAGCTTCACCATGAGAGACTTTATTGGCCGGCCAATGTTCTGTTCTTCCTGATCACTGAAGGTGTCTTCGGCATTGTGTTTGTCCAACAATGCATCCTACAGTGTAGTAAAAACCACCATGGTTACTAAGCCGAGCAAAAAATTACGCCCGGCAGACATAATTATGCAAAATTTTCTCAGGTTTTCCTCTATCTGATCCCTCAGATTTGAGGAATTATCGACCATGCTTGGCAATAATCAGTCAAACACAGTTCTTACCTTTGCCACAAATTGGTCCCTGCACCATTGCGCAACAGCATCATCCGGTTCGGGCAAGTCTTTCATCAAATGCCGTTTGATGTGAACATGCACCTGAGAAGAAGCAGAAGTTTCTTAGTCCATTGTTTTAACTAGAAATCCATTCAAACACAGCAAACAACGAGAGACAGAAAATTCGCAATGACACACTCGACACTATTCATGCACAGATGAATCCAGTAACGTTTCACATATTACACGATTTAAAGTAGAAAATCACACTCAAACCAGCTACTAGCAAATAATGATGGGTGACTTCCATAACTCCTCTTGGAGCTTACTCAAAACTAATCACAGTTTTCTCACTTACCACCGAAGATTGTCCTTTGAAAAGCCTGAGCATCGTAGGCAGGGGAGAACTTTTAGGAATAGTCACTGTCATATCATAAATGGCTGGCACAAACGGCCGCATATTACTAACAGCTGACACAAAACCCTGAAAACAATAAAACCAAATCTGAATTAGGGCAGCCAAAAAAAAATTTATAAGAGACCAGGATGGATAATTTAGAAGCATAGGCATAATACAGAATCCAGCTTAAAAAGCCCAAATCAACCATATTGCAAAAAGGTCACAGGTGAAAGCAATGGTTAGTGATACCGAGTTAACACAGGAATGAGGCAAAAATAAATAAGAAACGTTACTTTGGTACGAGGAATCAACACATTTCGCGGGATAGGCAACCCACTGGAGGCTGCATACTCTTGGGCTGCTTTAAGTTTAGCCTGAGTGAAGCGAGTTCCCTCCACAAAAAGCGCCAACCAGAAAGGCTGAGGGAAGTCGTACAATCGCTGAAGGCCTGACTGTAAATTTATACAAATACATAGTTCATGAGTATGGAAATAAGATTCTACAATTTCGGGATGCTAACCTCAAAAATATGAGATAAATGCACATACTTTGCAAGCATTTTCTGTAGGAGCAAAATAAACAGATCATTGCAGAATCACTCAAGATATTGTATAAACTTTAACCCGTACCTTTAATGTATTTTCATCCTTGGCCCAGTTTCTTTCCAGAAACAGATACTCCGAGAACCACATTGACCAGCCTATGACCTGCATGTGTGAGAAAATCCTCAGTTAATGAAAGCTCTAGAGCATGCAAACAAATCTAACTAGAGCAAATAACTAAGACAGGAGAGACAAAACTTTCACAACGATATCAAGAGATGTATTAACCAACACATCCCAGAAATTAAAAAAAATGAAAATCAGATTAGTTCACCAACCCAATCTCATAATGTTACTTTCTTGGGGTTCATATTGATACAGTGACTTTAAAAGAGCACACCATTTAGCTGATAAATGGGTATGATAGTTATCCAGTACACATACCGGAAGCAATTTGGATGATTTCTTCATCACAGCTAATGCGCTTCCAAGACAACCCGCGCGCTGTATTCGGACAGAAACAGGAAATAGCCAATTAGTACATGAATATAGCTTAATATGAAACCTAGAAGACGTATATCAGGATTCAGGATGTAACTTTCTGTTTGATCTCAGCACTGATTCGTTTGATTCTTCAAACATTTCACATAAGATAATATATTTCCTAAGAAGGCAACAGCAGAAGACGAGTGGCATGGTTTCCGTCCATAGGACATGCTACACACTCAGTTACCAGGAAATTGCAGCTGATATCTTCTTCTGGAAGTAAAAAATTGCACAAGACGGTCCACAGTTGTCTAAAGTGTAGTTAATGAAAAATACAGTCAAAACATAAAGCTTAAACTATGCACCTGAGCCAAAACCCATCCGACAAGCCAATCAATATCGCTTCTGTGATTACAGATGACGAGAGCGTGCTCCCTTCCTGGAAAATATCAGAAACTAGAACACTGAAGGAAGCATACATTTTTTCTCGAAGACAGGATATATGTTTACAGAATATAAGAGTAGAGGAGGTTAAGCAGTCCCATTCACCAATAAGCACGGACTTACCCATTTGATGGAAGGTCTCCCTATCTGTAAACACTCTGATCTGAAGCAAACAAATTAAACCCATCAGGGAAACCTATAGACTTAACAATATGAATATAATATACATATGTGTGCGTGTGTCGAGCAAAAGGTCAGTTATCAGCACATAGCCTCATTCAGGAAGCTACCCAATACTAATGCAGGCTCGGGTTCGTCTCCTAACCATTAGATTGATTTTTTTCAAAACCAAACAGGAATTGTCAGAGGATTGAGGATACCTTCACTCCTGCCCACCAATCTATGATCCATACAAGTTCCAACCACAAGGTTTCAGCAACCACCCGGTTGATTTTTCTGTATGTGTTCTTAGACAAAGGTCGAACGAGCACATAGCAAACTGCCTGAAACATGATATTGAAAATGTCAAAAAAGAATGAAGCGTCTAAAGTTTCAGAAAACGACATTCACTCTCTCAAAAGATGCCAAAAGCTTCTTCCTCAAACCCGAATCCTGAACAGATTCGACAGCGATTAAGACATACAACTCCAACAATACAACAAAACTGCATGATGCCGAAATGTCAAACGGAAATTAGATACCGCTAATCCAAACTGCATGAAGCTTGAAGGATGCATTTTGATCTCATGAAACTAATTCAGATACGCTCCACATAACATAAAATCAAAAGATCAAGCATACGCCCCTTGTGACGGATCGCATAAGAATCAGCATGTACAGAAGTCCCATCATTCAAACAGAAAAGTCCGAGCAACCCATTCGCCAGACGCAAACCCTAGAACTAGAAGCCCGTGAATCAACGAGGACCAGAAACAACAACAAAGAGTTCAATGCGAACAACACCAACTGAACCCATGAAATCCCAGACGAGAACACCAAAGACCGATCAACAATAGATTCTCCAGAAGCTTCGAATCAGAAACCCACCTGAACGAGATTAACGGCGAGGCCAGAGACGAAGAATAGAACGCCCAAAGGCACGATGACAGCTGCAGCAATCGCCATGAAAATAGCTCCAACAACAGCTGATGGTTAAACGCACAGTGGGCAGAAGAAGACCCACCACCGAGATTTACACAGATCTGCAGAAACAACGGCGAAATCCCCCCAGATTCGGAGAGCAGATGAGAGGCAACTTGCAGATTGAATGGAGGGGGAAAAAAATAAATAGCCCAAGCAAGAAGAAATTGCAAATCAAGTAGTGTAATGGGAGGAAGAAAGAAACAAGAAACGATTAACTTTCAGCAGGGAACTATACTGGTCGATTGATTGATATATATGCGTGCGAGGAGATAATTACGAGGACGAACTAGCTTCAAAGAAGCACGGGTCAAGCGTTTTTCTTGTTTTTCAAAATAGCCCCTATTTTTCAATTAGTTTCACAAACACCCCATTGTTTTTGTAGATCAACCGAATAGATTCACCTTTTGTTCGACTCATACTATACGATCATTATACACACTGAATATGTTTAAGGAATATCATACATTAAAATCGCAAAACAAAAAAGGCTAATGTTCAGAAGTATATATACATATATTCCGGATGGTCGAGTGTAGGGGCGCTTACGTGCATAAATTAAAATACAGGGCCGCATTTGGAAATAAATGATGATAATGGGGCTGTCTAACAAAGTTTACAACCATAATGATGATAGGGAAGAGGGAGCGTTGGCTATCGAGGGATTTGATCGATCGGAGTTCACGTTTTATATTTATCTTTTAATTATAACGACCTCTCTAAATTCGCCAATGTTTTACATACATACATCCATACTACAATGGCATTATTATATATATATATATATATATATGTATATAGTGCCCTTGTAGATATATAAGATATTATACAAGGTTGAGATTATATTAGTTATAGTAGGTTAACCATATCTAACATAAACAAAAAGAAGTGGGTGATCCTCATGTTATATATCGCATGAGCTAGTGTCGCTTTATCCTCCTACGTTTTTTTTTTCACGTAATATTATTTAATAAAATCCCGAAATACAGTTTTATATATTAAAGAAACCACCTTATACCCAAAAAAAAAAAAAAATCGGAAAGAGCTTAAAACAAAAGGTGAAATATTTATCGCAGCGTGATATTTCAAATAAACTCATGGATTCGATGAGGCCCATCAAATATAATGGGCCCATGGGCCTATAGTTCGTTGAATCGCTCTAAGCCCGGCCCGTTATTTGAGCGGACGAAGTTAGTACATATCCCAATCCATTCTAAAATTTTGTGAATTTATATTTAAAAAAAGAAAGAAAGTGAATAGAATATATATATATATATTGCCACAAGTAATGGTGGTGAATGACAAGAAAGTGTAATCAACTTGCTGGGAATCAATCATATAAGAAAGTGAATAGAATAAGAAGAAACAATGAATCTGCTTCACCCTATTTTTATTAATTACATATTAATAAAAATAGAATTAAAGAAAAGCTTATAAAGAAGAGAAGAAAATCACTCACGGAAAAAAAAAAGCACCGAAAGTCGAAAGGAAAGTATATATACATCAACTATTTTTTTTTTCCAACTCCTTTTGCCCCTTTCTGTATTTAATTTTCAACAAAACATTAACCGAAACAGGACAAACGTACGTACACGTCATTAGAAAAATAAAACAATATTGTATTAATACTTTTTTATTTTAATATTTTCCGAGTTGTAACTTGTAATTTGGATAAATTACAATATTGATGATTCGGTAGCCCACCACTTATCGTCTATGTTTTTCTATCAATTTTTTAAAATATATTAAATTAATTAAAACCTTTTTTTTCAAATACTTTAAAGCTTGGCAAAATTATTTCCTATTCAATTTTTTTATATAAAATTTCTATCCATTCAATTCTGATCAATTAGTCTTTAATTTTAAAAATATTTATTTAAATCGTTTTTATATTATACTCTAATTTAATTATTTTCATTTAAATTTCTATTAATAACTAAACTTTTAATTTAATTCAAATATAATTTTATTTTATTTTATTCGATTCAATGTAAAGTAGAAAAATGAGCCTTGTAATATCTATGAGGAATATCTCAATTAATTAAAGACAAGTGGTGCACTCTTATTATTATTTCCTTTTATATTAACTATTGAACTAAAGTGACACGTCAGAGGGAGGCCAAAGATAATGCTCCTGTCCGAGAGCACAACCACGTGAGCTCGATCACTATAAATTAGGCTTGTCCAAAGCAGACGAAACGTTTATTTTATTTTTTTTTATAAATTATAATTATGTGACCTTCTAATATCAATCCACGAACCATGTCGTCCATAATTATAAAAGCTGAACTTGCATATTCCGATGCATTTTAAAGATTGATATCAATGAAATCTTGTTTTATTTTTAATCCCAGTTAGGTTCATAAATTAATAAATCAAGGCAGAATCTCATTGATTTTTAATTAACACGAAATACATCATACATGTAATGTAATTATAATCTGCAAGAATACCAAGACATAAATGGGGAGAAAAAGATTATATAAATTTCGATTTTCCGGGATATCCATAAGAAATTATATTAATAATAGTAACAATGATAATCATAAAGACAATGATTATGGAAGAAACCTAAAAATATGAAAAATCGGAAGGAAAAAAAAAACCCAGAAGGTTTCTTCTCCTTCCATGTTTCTTCCCATAAATCCTTTTTTTTCCCTGTGAAATTAATTGCCAGAAATAAAGAACCTTCAAAAACCATATATAGCTTCTTCTTCTTCCTCTTCTTCTTCTTTGTTAATGTCGTTACCAACATTTTCCTGTCGGAAAAAGTTAGCTACCAGAGAGAGAGAGAGAGACCATCTTTGTTAATGTCGGCCTCTCAGTTCTGCTGAGCCACGAGCTGATCGAGCTGCAACTGCTCAATCCAAGCTCCCAACACAGCCCGATCCATCGGCTCAACCGCCATGTTCATGTCGTCATCGTCCTTGTTCTCTGCAGCTGGACCAGGAACTTGAACTGACGACGACGATGCCTTCTCCTTCATGTCGGTCGGAGACTCCTTAACCAGTGACTGAACCCACGACAAGTCAGGCTCGTCCCCATTCCCGAGCTCGAACGAGGAAGATCGCCTTAGCTTCCCAAACTCCTCTGAGCTCACTGTCCAATCGGGTTTCCCGTTCGAAGACCCAAGATTGGACCAGGGCGAGTTCACTGGTGATCCGACAATGGCGCTTGAGTTTGTCCTCAGTTCCCTGGAACTGAGACTCCGGAACTGGTGTTGTTGCTGCTGCTGCTTCTCGAGCTGGGCCAACATCGAAACCCTAGAGCTCAAGGGCGAGATTGGTTCCACCGAGTTGCGGGGAGACATTCTTCCCCCGGCGAAGGATGTCTGTAATAACGAGTGATCGATGTTCTTAGGCGAGAAGTTTGTATTGATCGGAGACAGCATGTTTTGCTGTTGAAACTGCTTAAAGACAGCAGATTTATGTGTCGGGGAAAAAACCGCAGATGCCAATGCTGCTGGATCGGTAAACCGAGGAGACGAAGAGCTTTCCGCCGAGAAAAGATCGTCAAGATTTGATGGGTTCATGGACTTCATCCGACCAGAACGACTGAGAGAATTGGAACTCAGCCCGGAAAACTCGTTCATGAGTTGCTGCCGATCATAGTCTGGTAACATGTTGAAGTCTTCTGCCGGGATATCTCTGGCATTGAGAGAAGACCTTAGCCTGCTCGACTGGAGATTGCTTCCAGGGAGATGCAAGGCTGGGACATTAGGTTGCGGCCACGCCATGTTCGAGTGAGACATACCATTGCCGGCTCCAGACGGGGACATCGGAGGAGGAGTGAACGGCGAAGGAGACATGACAGAAACAGATGAAGGAGAACCTGGAAGAAGACTCATAGCCGCAGCAAAATCAGAACTCGAACGAGGCGATGGAATTGCTGAACCTGTCGACACATACAAAGGGCGGAGTTCCTCTGGTGTATGCGCGAAGAAACAAACACGTCTGCCACAGCCGGTTCCGTCCTTACAGAGACGAGTCCGGTACTGAGCCGGGTGGAGCCAGCACTCAAACACACCATGAGCGTATTCGCACATGTCTCCCCGCCTACAAGCCCCTTTCCTAAAATCGGGGCACGGAACACAGCTGTAATGGAACTTCCTCGGGTCCCTTCTCCTCGCGTTTTCCCCCGGATGAACAAACGGACACTCGGTCCAGTCATGGGAATATGCCCGTGAGCAAGGGCGAACCTTGAAGGAATACATACGGAACTCGTCAGTGGAGTATATGCTGTTCTTGATATCGGGAAGAGAAGGGTCAACAGGGTACTCTCTCTTCGCTTCAGGTGACTTGAACTTCAATGGAGAATCCGGCGGCGACCCGTCAGGAGAATGAGGTAGACCGGTAACCACGCGTAGATTCCGGTCAGCGGCCATTGAACCATCAGCCGAGAGGAGCTCCTGAAGTATGAGTTTCATACCCTCGAGCTTTGGAGGAACCATAACAACATCAACAGCTCGTCGGCCATCGGCGTCTGGCAAGTTAGGATCAGCACCAGCTGCAAGAAGCAGTTTCACCACTTCACCGGCATTTACCGCTCCTCCAGAAGCAGCAGAATGGAGGGCAGTGGTCTTATAGTTCCCGCAAGTGCGGTTCACATCAGCATCAGAGAAAGAGATTATCAGTTTAATCACATCTATACTTCCATATGTAGCAGCGACCATCAAAGGGGTCCTTTGGTCGTTAACCATACTCCTCGACCCTTTCTGCCTGCCATACCAGAGACCTACCTCGTCTACGCACGAAGGGTCTCTCACTAAAGACAGCCTGAAACCTTCGACATCGTTGTTGGCCGCCAGTTCGAGCAAGCTGGCGAAAGTGTCTTCCGTCTCAACAGTCAAGTGATTCATGTCTGTGTAGGGAGCAAGAACGTTATCCCCTATGAAATCAAGCGTTGAAGATCTTGATGACAGGATCAGGTTTAACCGGTCTGATCCACAGCACATGCTTCCATCTGCAGAATAGAATTCTGAAATCGTCATCAAAAGGCTCATCCAAATCGCATCAGGAAAGGCAATCAAAGTACAAACACAAAGCGAAAGCCGGAACAAGAGAATCAAACAAAGCCCGACCCTTTCTCCGGAAATTCTCCAGTAACCAGACGAAACATAGATGAGTAACATCCACAGTGGTCACTAGATGTTTTATCAGTTCACGTCATTATCGGACAAGGGGTCTTGTCCTGAACATGACCATGTCTGAAAATTTCCCTAATCCACCATTTTTTCCCAAGTAAGTCAAACAAATCATAAGAGAAAAATCGACCATGATGGTTCATCAGAACGCATACAGGTTTACTTCTAAATATAGGATAGGGAACGGCGAGGCGGAACGATCAGAAGAAACCGATCAGATCCCCAAGAAAATCTAAATCAGATTACCACATGACAAAAGTCAAAAGACAACCAGAAATAGGCAGATATAAGGAGAAGACATGAAAAGACCTCCTTGCATGTGATCACGGTCGTTTCATCAAACATACACATGGATTACAACGACACACAGATGGAGAGAGAGTGAGAATCGGACAGAAAAAGCGAGCAGACACGGGCGATCAAAACAAGGCACGACCATCAAACATCGGTTCTACATGCCATATCAGGCAGCAAGAGACCTCCGATGACATCGAATCTCACCTTGTGTTCCCCTTAGCCAGATAAGAGTGCCTGAGAGAAAACCAGTTTCGCAGAAACTGCAGCGAAGAAGGAGATCAGTTTTCAGACAGATCTAGTGGAGAAGTGTGTTTCGAGCGAGTGAGAAAAAGGAGGAAACTTTCTCGAGAAAATCTGAGAGAGAAACAAAGAAAGAAAAATCCTTTAGGCCTAGGCCTCAGAGAGAGGAAATGGCGAGAGCTTGTTCTCCTTCCATCTCCCAATGTCCAAGCTCTACTTTCATTAGAAAAGTACAACACCAAAAAGAAATTAATTTTTTTTAAAAACAATATCTTCGTGAAATTAATATTTTAGATATTCTTTTTCATGCAAAATAAATAGAAGCAGATATTAAAATTTTAAAGAAAAAAAAAAGACCAGCGCTGAGTGAGGTTTCTTGCCCCTAGTCTTCGTAAAATTACGGTCCGGTGTTCATCCCTCCCCCCAATCATCTACTTCCACGTAATCAACAGAACGGATGGATAGTAAATTTAACTGCTGAGCTGTCACGCTACAATTGGTTAAATAGGGACGTGAATGGACATGTCATCGTCACATAAACCTTGTACCTGGGGTTAATTCACAAGAAAGTCCACCCAATTCACCTTCGCGGGAGCTAGGATCAGCTGCATCAAGGACACACTGGTTAACCACACGTGGCAAGATGACGTGGCACAACACGATTGGACTTACTATCCCTTCACTCTTTCACAGGCGTCTTTTAGACTCTCCGGTTACTTCCTCAGCAACCGATATTTCCAAAATGCCCTGAGAAATTTTTTAAAAGTCGATTTTGCCCTTCACAGTATCGATTCGTAAAGAGACACGTGTATGCATCTGAGCAAGCTTTTTGCTCGACGCGCGATGTGACGGGGTTTACCGGTGAAAAGGTAGACAAAACGGAACGGTTAGGTGGACGAAGTGGAACGGGAAGAGCCGGTAACCTGAAAACGGGCGTGCGCGAAGCAGATTATTAAATCGGATTTAAGAAAGGAATTGGCGTCCACCAAGCGTACGGGAGCGGACGTGAGACATCAACTTAATTCCAATTAATTGTGGAGTCAAATCATAACCAAAAAAATAAAATAAATGTGGACCATAGTGCAGAAAACAAAAGAAAAAGAAAATAATGGCAGAGAAAATTCCAACCAAGAATTTCCAATAACGCAAAAAGTTGAAAATAGGAAAAAAAGGGATAAATTACCAAAAACAGTGTGTAATCTTATCTATGCTCAGTATTTATACCATAAAAAAATTTTAATTTCCTTCATAAAATTTAATTTTCATAAATTACAATAATTATTCATTTCTATTTGTCAATTCTATTTGTATTTCCAATACATATATATATATTAGTTTTTTTCTCTTTACCATTATGATTTTCGTTAGAACTAAATAGATAAATTATATAATATTTTATTTACGATTAAATAAATAAATTTCTTTTCAATTTAGAACAAAAAATAAATCTTTTATGGTATTATCATCTCGTGTAAATTCGGAGTGTATTTTCATTTATTCCAATAATATTATAATTAAATAATATATTGTATACTTAAAGATTTTTGCGAAAGTGAGAAACGGACAGCCGCCCGGGTTGACCGAGACAGAGAAGGCGACAAGGCAATATTTGGGTACTAAATTAATTTGCAAACCGTATAACCAAAATTTAATATGATGTATGATATATAATGTAATATATATATATATATGCATGTATGTATGTATGCATGCTCGTCCAGACATTAATCGCACATCAAAACAATAAGAATCACATATTAATTAATTGCAGTACCATGATACACCTTAAACGAGATTGACAAGATTAAAACTATAAGGAAACAAAAGTAGCACCATAATTACATATTATTATATTTTGTACATTTCGTGCGTGTATATATACACTTTCATATATTCATATATGGCCCATGATTTTGGATTTGACAAAGCTCCGTTTGATTTCAGCCGTTTTAGGATATTCATAAATTTCAATTATTATTTAAATTTTTACTAGTGATATCATTTAAAAACACAATTCGAAAATTCAGCAGGTGGGCCATAGAGATTACCGATATTATAAATCCATTATTTTAATTGATTGCTGATAGTTAATTATATTTGTAAGAATGTCACGTCCATTAAAAAAAATCATTGTTTTTTTTTATAATTCAGAATTAACCGGATTTTCAACCCGATTATATCTCATAAAGAATCGAAAAAATCTATGTGAATATTTTTTCTCACGTTTGAATTTGAATCGAGGGTAATAACATATTTTGCATATTTTAAAAAATCAATGTTATTTATTTCAAAACTAATAAATTAGTTTAGATTTTGAAAACACCATCAGCTTCTAATTTTTCAAAAATGGTTGGACCATTTAAATTATATTTACTGAAATTTGTGTCAATGTGTATATATGGGTGTGTGACTCCGCGTAACATCGTTGATATTTAAAAGAAAAACATGATGGCTAATCATATAAAATAATTGCACGAGTTTTCTGATGTACTTTGGAAGGAAAACATCGAAGAGCTTTAGTCCCCACTAATTATTGTTTGGTGCGAACTAATTTTTTTTTATACCCACTAATACATAAATCAATTTATGACATAAAAGTGTCTAAAATTTATGACATGAGAACCAATGATTTAAATATTACCTATGTATATTATTTATATGTATTTCGATTTTTTAAGATACGTTTATGATAGAGACACGTGCATGCATAACGCGTGAGAGACATGACGGACTTTAGACAAATATATTTATACGACCAGATATTTGAATCAATATATAATAGAATTTTAAAATCTACAAATGTCATACGGATATTATAATAACTCGTACCATTAAAATCACCCATTTGTTTGAATTTATTCGTATGCACGACAGAAAAAAAGGGGAAGGAGACAAGAAGGGCATTCATAATTTAATTAAAAAAAATCTAAAAATTTAAATTCCATGGATTATAATTCGATTTTTATAATGATTCGTTTGTCAAACGTAGGGACGAGACATGGAAGTTGCCAAATGAGAAGTTCCGTTGGTGTGATGTGTCTCGTTTTCAAGAGGTATGGTGATGTGGACATGATGAAGGATGGAGACGAACAAATTCTCGTATTGTTGAAAAATTAAATTTATAAATAATAATCTTATTTTTTAAATTATTTTTTTCTTGTGCATCTAATTTTGCATTTTAAGATAAGAAAGCATATGGTCCCCCACACATTTACACTCGCCACCAAGCTTCTTCGTATATTTGGCCCTGCGTGAGATAAATTCGAGATCCTTCATACGACTGAGAGAAT